GTTTTCCCATCTGATTTTAGGCTCCGTTCACACTGCAGCCTGAAGTGACCCAAATCCGATTTTTTGGCCCAAATGTGACAAGGATCTGATCTTTTCACGACAGTCGGAACAACACAGATCCCATTTTTTCCAATGCGACCCAGGCCACTTGGCTATGTGGTCCTGAATTCGATACGAATCTGATCTTTTCAAATGCGACCTTTGTGTGAATGGCCAGGTCAGATTCACCCGACCTGAACGTCATTAATAACCGACAAAGATCACTATTCTTGGTCTTGCTACACAGAAACGGCAAGAAAAACAACAACCTTTGCAGATGATGATGATGCGGAGAGCAGTATTTATGTTTAAACATATTGAAAAGATTGTGTTTTTATGGTTGGAAAAGACCGCTAGATGCGCGCACTACCATCCATGTTTACTTCCGGAAAAAAAGAGCACGCTGGCCTGTGATGTCATTGCGTCCTCTACTGCGCATGCGGGACACTTGCGTTGTGTGACTGCAGTTCACACAGGAGATCACATACAAGTTGCATATATTTGGAAATATGAACAGGAACGCAAACAAATCGCATTTCACAAAAAAAATCAGAATTGAGCATCAAGGCCTGCAGTGTGAACGTAGCCTTAGTGTTTGCGGTTAATTTCTTACATGCTGTTTATGTATTTGCAATGCAATTTCACCTATAGGCCTGAAGTATGATTCTTAAGATGGATTCTTGTCTTCTAATTCGAATTCTGCCATAAAAGACATTTTGGCATCTCCTTAATTAGTCATAAAATGAACTCTTGAAGTTTGTTTGGAAGGTTGGCCTCTCCTGGGAAGGTTCACTGCTTTCTCTACTCAGGCACTGATTCAAATGATTGCATTACCTCCTCAGCAGCCATCAAATGCTTGTCAATCAGATTGTGAGGTGTGTGGAGGCAGGGAAACATTTAGGACAGTAGACTCTGAGGACCAGGGTTAAGGATCCCTGATTTAGGTACTACCGTAGGTTTATTCTATAGCTCTGCTGGTAATCAAACCGAGATGTAGCCAAGAAAATCAAACTCAGCTGTCGAACAGATGGTAATCATATTTTTTATGTTTTTATAAAATGAAAAGGGCTCATTTTAGTCAAAAGCGGCAGGTTGATTTGACTAGAATTTTCCCCTTAAAGAGGCATTAAAGAGTTGTTTATTAATACTGCCACCTGTGGCCAAAAAACAGAGTTGCGGCGACTGCTCGTGCATATAATTGACAAGGTTCTTTTTTTTAAAACCTTTTCCCCTTACCTTTTGTTGCTATTGGTGTCTGAGTTGAGCTGGATGCCGGTCAGTTATGAGAATTCACAAAATCTATCTTGGATATAACGCTTCGATTGTTTGCTAGCTTGGACCCATTCATCACGTCATATTTGCAGAAACAGAGCAGGAACCTCAGACTCAAAGTACATTCAGGAAAAATAGGCTACAGACTGAAGCCTGGGTCACAGCAGTTTGTCCAACTTTTTATCTCAATCAGATTTTTTTTTAATGTCCCACTGGGTGCGTATAGAGGGGCTACTACTACACAGCGGGAGCAGATCCCAATCTAAGCAGATTTTTTTAACTTCTGTCGCCACAAATTGAAACAATGTCCCACATTTGACTGGGACAGATTATAAAAAAACAGAAAACAGCCAACACTAATACAAAGCAAAGTGCCACTTCATGACCAACATACAAAGCAGACCAGATAGAGGATTTTGATATTAAAAAAAATGTAGAAACTATGTGTAAACAAAAGAAAAATGCAGCAATAAACAACGTGGGACGGTTTATAGGTATCCCCTCCAAACACCAGATGTCATTTAGATGTTGGTTTTTAGACTGTATTTGGTCGGTCCATCATAGTCTTAATTTAGTTTAGAAATAGTTTAATAAACTGGGCTGTGTTTGGTTGGTCTGATTTTGTCCCACATTAGTCCGATAATAGACATTGAAAAGACGCTGTAAGGTCTTTTCAACGATCTGAAAATTACGGCTTTTCACTTTTCAACAAAATGTAGAAGTCATTTGGACGTAATTGTCATGTTGTGATTTAGATGTCTAACCCACATGCAGAAACACTCGGAGGCAGGGAAGAAGTTCAAAGGTTTATTGACAAAATGTTGATAAAAATGTGAACTGGAACTTGGTTGGTCAGACTAGTCACGGCAGGATCACCACTGAGGAGGACAGAGAGGTTGAGGAGTTCCAGGTAAACTGCCGTTTATCAGATGATGGGGTAAATACCTGCTCAGAGGTGGAACTGATCAGCAGGGGGGGAACCTTGAGGGTCCAGAGGCTAGTCGGCAGGCAGAGGGCTGAGGGCAAGCAGAGACTGAACTGAGTGCAGGCAGGCGGAGGACTGAGAGCTAGGCAGAGGCTAACTGAGTGCAGGCAGGCAGATTCCAGACTGAGATATTCTCCAGGATTTCAGGTTGATCTGACAGGACTGGATCTGTGAGGCAGAAAGAAACAGGGTCAGGCAGATTCACAAAAATCAGGGAAAACAGATCAGAGAAGCAGGCTCAGGTTTTGCTGGTATCATTACTGGCAAACACTCTGGCAGGGAAGTGTCAGCCTGTTCCTCCTTAAATAGGGCCTCCTGATGAGCAGATGGAAGACAGGTGTTGCAGTCAGCTCAAGCCCTCAGGAGATCTTGTGCGCCCTCTGGTGGAGAAGGTGGACAAAGCCTCCAGATCCCAACAGTAATCATGACTTTCAATGTCTTTCCAACCAATTTTTGCTTGGTGGGACTGGATGAGGCAATGATCTCAGATTTGTTAGATAAAACTCTTACCTAATCAGTTCGGCAGTAACATACAACCAACATTTTTCAGTCCAGCTAAAACTGGTGCGGCCATGTTTCTTCTTTCTTTAGCCTTCTGCTTCTGGGTGATGCCATAAACGTCACTGTATTCCATTTCAACGAAACAAACACATCTGCTGGTTCCTGCCAAGATCTGTTTTTGGGATTTTGCAATAATTCATACCTCTTTAAAGGCATACCTGCTTGCAGAAAATCATGTCTGGTGTGTTCACCCCCAAATGCCACAACCTTGTGCGACATAATTGTCTGTCTGGTCGGACGCAGATTTCGAATTCGGTGTCTTCAGGGCTTTAAAGAGGTGCAGAATTAGAGGTGTCAGTCTGCTAATCAATGGCCTGTACCTATGTAACGCTTTTTGGCACTTTTCAGGATACTTGACCAAAGCGCTTTACGCTACATTCAGTCATTGACCCATTCACTCACACACTAATGTAGGCAACCTAGATTGTGGCAACAGCTGCCGTGGGGCTCACTGACAGAAGCGAGGCTGCCGTACGCTGCCACCACCAGGCCCTCTGACCACTAGGGCTGAACGATTTTGGAAAATAATCTAATTGCAATTTTTTTCTTTATATTGCGATTTAATGCAAATTTTTCCCCCAGTTTAAATGATCATGTCTTTTTTTAAACATATACAAACAACAAATCAATCTGTTTCATCGCTGTGCAGATTAGGTGCTAAAAGACACGCTGTGTCCTAATTAATGATCGCGTTCTGCCTACGATATATTTCAACCAAAATTGCAATTTAATTTCGACCGGTCTCTACATAACCACAAGCAACAAAAATGGCCTCTAAATAAAGACAATTGTAAACGAGGACTATTTAAATCAAGAACTTTTAATGTTTTTATTAATCAGAATATTATTCAAGAAAACAGCTTTTAACTGATTTGGACATCAATCCTTGTTGAACATGAAGTCCAAAGTGCAACCAACAAACCAGTCTATGTATTAAACTGATTAACTGGTACTTAGTGCTGTGTATGAATATATAAACTCTAAAAAAAGTAATAAAATTAGATTATCTCACTGCTGCAACTGTCTTCCCTTCCATGTGGAGGCAAATCCACTTTAAATATTTTACTGACACCTAAAGAACGCGTCTGATTCACTAATTGTTACATAGCCAAAAATTGCAGACGTCCGCGATTTGGAAATTGCATATTTTTCAATCGCGATTATATTGAAAATGCAATTAATTGTTCAGCCCTACTGACCACCATCAGTAGGCGATACGGGTGGAGTGTCTTGCCCAGGGCTACAATGACAATGAAAGCTTGAACCGACGATTTGAACTTCAATTTCAGGGCAAACTCCTACTTCCAACGCAACATACCCAACTGTCCTCCCAACAATGTTTAAGTCATAAAAGGTGAAATAAAAAGGCTGTTTTAAAGATATTTTTCAGTGAAAAATTACGAAATTGTAAAGAAACAGAGACTGGATCCAAACCAAGACAGGTCAGTGACATTTGAACAGTTAATTGAACAGGTTGCTTTGAGGGCGGGACTGAATCAGGGATCAGGCAGGCTCGGTATCAGGAGACAGATCGGGTCAGTAACGGGTAGACAACAGATATTTCTAGAGATGCTGGACTATCCTTATCGTGTTGGCACTAGATAATCTGGCACAGAGGACTGGTCTAATGGGCTTTAAATACTGATGGAAACAGGTGACTGCGGTCAGAGCTGATTGGGTGCAGCAGAGCAGGTGTACGGACTGAGTGATCAGGCCAGAATCAGTGCAGAGACCATTACAGAAATGTCTCTTTAATAAATTAAGTCATCTGTTGAAGTTTCTTTTTTATCAGAAACAAAGGGAGATAAAAATAAGTAGCATATTTGGCATTTACTTTTAGTTGCTATGGTTATAAACGTACCCATTAAACTTGGAAAGTCGTCACCTGGTAATTATAACTGTTGTCAGATCTCTGAGAAACTGCTTTTGCATCCTTCCTGGTGTGAAAACACTCAATCTAATCCACCTGTTGGAGATTAATATGTTTTTAAGATTTAAATTTAGAGATTTATATTTACCCTGATTACACTGCATATGTATTATTATTATTTTTTCTTAATAACCACTTAATTCCCAGCTGGCAGATGGCCCCTTTTGCATTGTCCCCTGAGCACTAATGCCATCCTTTGTGTTTCCATCGCAGCCCCAGACAAACAGCACGAGAAACAGCATAGTCACCAGTCCCAAAGGAAACATCCCTTCGGCTGCACTGGTACGCAGCTCTGTGTTCTGTCCGTCCATCTTTTCAGACCACATCTACACTCCAGAGGGCACTGATGGGTGTGTGTGTGTGTCTGTACCTGTCTAGCCCTCAGAGTGAGGACCATTTTTCCAATTTTACCATCAAATTGAAGACCAGTTGTTGTAAAGTGAGCACATTTTGCTGGTCCTCACAAGCTATTTTCTATTGGTTAGGGTTAGGGTGAGGTATGCATTGGTAATGGTTAGGTATAGGGTTAGGGCATAGAAAGGGTTGAAAATGACTTGAAATCAATGGAAGTCAACACATGGTCCTCACTATGATGGCAGAACGTGTGTGTGTGTTTATATGGAGGACCAGCAGAGCCAGAAAAAAAGAAATACAACAAATTTAAATTCAACAAAATATTAAATTCCAATTTTCAAAGTGTTTTGTTATTGCATATTTAAAATAAAATTATTAAAGTGGAAATAAAAATTGAATTTATCCATCCATTATTAAATACTGAAGTTTGAAAATGTACTTTAAAATCCCATGTTTTAAATTCATGAAGCTGTTTATAACTGTATTTCCTTATCAGCCAGTTAAAAAAAGTTCCTTTTTCATTTTATTTTACTTTACCTTCCCCTCTATAGTTTCCCTTATCTATTAGCTTTTGCGTGACCCTTGTTAACAAGCTGTTACTAAACTGCTTATAAGTTGTAACTAAGCTGTTGATAAATTGTTTCCAAAGTTTTAATCAAATGCTACTTAAGTGTTTATAAGCTGTTTCCAAACTATTAATAAATGGTTACTAAACGGATTATATGCTGTAGCTAAATTGTTTAGAAGCTGTTATTGGGTCAAGGAAATAGTAAATAGAGAGGTAAAAAATAATGACATTTTAAATTTCAAAGTATATAAGTATATAGTATACATATATTTAAAAGTATAAAGTGTAAAGGAAATTAAGAAAAAGAAAATATAAAAAATAAAAGAAAATAAGAAAAAATAGAAATGGAAAAAAGAATTACCTTTATAAATATTTGATGAGGATAAGCATCAATGATGTAAAACAAAAAAGGGGGGGGTATTTAATACTGGATTGAGAAATTCAGTGATAATAGTCCTCATTTATAATTTATATAAAATGTGCAATTACAAAAACCTTTTTGAATTGTATAACTTTTCTCTCCTGGTCCCCCATATATATGAAGGTATGTGAGAATGAATGAAGGTGGGAGCAGCTTCTTAAAGAAAGAGTGTTCAGATGTCAGACATTGATCTTGCAGTTACATATAAAACATTAACCAATTCTTCAGTGAAATGTGAAATCTTACAGAATCAGATGTCAGTTGATCGATGTTGCAATCAGAATATACCAGCTTTTTCATTTGCATAGCTAGAGAAGAATACAGCAGGTTGGATGTCCAATGAGTTTATGCCATTTTCAGGTTGTTGCTCACTTATTAACAGGTTTCTCTCAGGTCGCAGGAGATGCCCTGGTGCAAAATTAAATAAATAGTAAATGTAACATAAAATAATGAACACTTAATGCAAATGTATTTACATTTAATTGTTGTCATAATTTAACACATTTCTGACTATTTAAAGGAACATTAAATAGTTCAGCATTGTGTGATGCTGCATTAAATGAATAAATTATATATTTAGTAATTATTATATAATAGAGTGGCTGTGAAAGGAGTTCAAAGACCAACAATCAACCATGGTAAGCTATAATAAATGAAAGGAAGACATCCGATGACGAGTTTATGATATTTCTGTGTTGAGTTCTCAAGGCTAAAAGTGTGAGTTTTATTGTTTTTTGTCCTATATGAGGGAGTTTAAATGTAAAAAGATCTACAGACAATTAAATATGCTGCAGTACATTATGCAAAGTTCCAAGCCTCAACTCAAAGTAGATTTTTCCTCTGGTCCATCAAAGAGTGAGTGTTGAAACAGAACTGTTTTAATTTTCCTAGTAGCTGTTTTGCTTGTGTCAGTAGTACAAAAATGGAGCTAAGCATTCATTCTAATGTGGAATTGTGGTCTAAAGAACCTGCAGTATCAGACGTACTGTTTACACTCAGCTGAAATATAGTTCATATACTTTTGTTGATTCTGTTTTTAATCCCAAAGATCTGAAATATGGTGTCAACTGTTGTTACCTTGAGGGAGGAACAAACTTGAGAAAGTAAACTTCCAGTGATTGGCTACTTCTCAGGACTATAGTACTGTATTATTCCCGGTTCTGTCTGGTAACATTACCAAAGTATCTAATCACCAGTGGCGGTTTTGTTTTCATGGGGGGGGAAGAACAAAAGAATGACACAAAAAAACAGTCCAATATTTAAATGTTTAGAATATTGTGTGAATCAAAGAGCCATTAACTGCTCCGGAAACCTCAGATAAAGAAGATGAAACAGTGATAATATCTCAATATTACTGAAGGTAAAAATTCAGTTACTTAATTTTTTACATCATTGACAATCTAAAACTCGTAGTGACTGTGTCACAGGGGCAGCAGTCTCAGCAGAGACTTCCCTCTCCTCAGACACCTCCTCCAGCTCTGCTGGGAGAAGCCCCAGACATTCACTTGCCAGCCAAGAGACATAGTCCCTCAAGCCCCTGGGTCTCACGGACATGCCTGGAAAAAGGTCCAAGTGATGCTTTCAGACGCATCAAAAAAGCCACTTCTGCTGACTCCTCTCAATCTGGAGGAGAAGGAGCTCTACTCCAAGCCTCTCCTGAATTGCTGACCTCTTATCTCTAAGTGAGTTCCCAGTCACCCTGTGACGAAAGACAATTTTTGGCCACTTGTATCCGGGATCTTGTTCTTTTAGTCTTGATCCAGATTTCATTACCATAGCGGGGTATAGGAACGTGGACTGACCGGTAACTCTAGAGCTTTGCTTTTACAATCAGCTCTCTCTTCATCACAACTGTCCGCTGCAGTGGCGCCATTATAGCAACATCGGCATCAATCCGTCTATCGATCCCCTGTTCCATTCTCCCCTCACTCGTGAACAGGACCCCAACATACTTGAACTCCACAGGAACTCTCCTCCAATCTGAAGGTAAAAGGGCACCTTTTTTTGGTCAAGAACCACAGCCACCAACTTCGGGATTCTGATTCTCGTCCCAGCCAATTCACACTCTGCTACAAACCATCCTAGTGCATACTGAAGGTCTTGAGAGGATGGACCAAGCAGACGCACATCACCCACAAAAAGCAGGTAGGAAATCTGCTGTCCCCAAACCAAACCCCATCCATCCCTTGGCTATGTTTAGAAATTCCATCTAAAAGGTTAACAAGAGGACTGGTGACAGAGGGCAGCCCTATTGGAGTCCAGCATGCCGACTCAATGCCGACAATGTGGACCATACTCCTGCTACTCTTGTATGAAGACCAGATAGCCCCTAGTAAAGGGCCCCTTGACTCCATACTCCTAAAGCACCCACAAGGCACCATGAGGGAAATGGTCAAATGCCTAACCTATACAAAACACATGTGTACCGGTTGGGCAAACTCCCAAGCACCTTCGAGAACCCTGCAGAGGGTGTAGAGCTGGTCCAATGTTCCACGCCCAAGATCAAAACCACATTGCTCCACCTGAAGCTAAGGTTAGACAATCCACTCCAGGACCCTGGCATAGGCCTTCCAGGGGTGTTTGAGAAGGGTGATCCCCTATAGTTGGAACACACCCTGGTCTGTCAATCCAGGGACACTTTCCCCAACGTCCACATTATGTTGAAGGGGCATGTCAGCCATGACAGCCAGACAATATTCTGAGCTCTAAGGTACTCAAGGGCCATCTTTTCCACCCCTGAAACTTTGTCACTGAAAAGTTTTCAACCACTTAGGTGACTTCAGCCTTGGTGATGGACGAATTCAAGCCAGAGTGGCTCATCTCCTCTTCCATCATGGAAGGCATTTCAGCCGGAATGAGTAGATCCTCAAAATAATATTTCCTCCATCCAACATTTTTTTCTTTCAAGGTCAGGCGCTTTAAAAACAGTGTTAGAGAAGCACTGGTCCCCCTCTGGGAGCACCAGACAGCTTGGCAGAATCGCCACCTTAGCGTGGTGGAGAGCTTTGATGCATAAATGATCTAAGAAGCTATGTTGTTGTGGGCTTAAATTCTCCTGATAGGGTCTCCTAAGACAAACATGCTCTATGTGACGGGTCAGACAAAGAGCTGTTCAAAAAGTTCCAGATCACCTGGTATGGTGGAGCCATGACCCTACTCTGTAGCCAGGCCTGGGGTTGGGGTTCATTGGCGAGCGCTGGTGGTTGGGTTCTTCTTCGCAGTACCCAGCCGAGTCCAGCCTGAAGGAGCTGCATGAGGCCATCCCCCAGTGTAACCACCACCTGCAGGGGGAACCGTGAGGTACTGGTGCAGAGAGGAACGGGCAGAGGTCAGAGGCAGAGGCAACTTGATCAGCAAAATAAAACTGTGAGACTAAAAAAGTTATGAAAGTAGTAAGCGTTTTCTGTGCTATCTCATATTACCTGGAGAATGTTGACTAGCAGAATAATAACTGAATAAAAGAAGGAGGTGAATAGCTAGTTTATATTCTTAAATGGTTTATTTGCTAGTTTTGCTTTTCCAAAGGAGTATCTCCAAACTGATTCAATGAAATAACCTACAATAGTCTATATTCCTGCAGTGCAGGATCCAACACCTGCAGGTATGATATATAAAAAGCTCAACCCATGATATGAGTGTGTGGAGGGAATTTTGTTACATTATTATTGCAAGCAAAGAACATTTTGTAAATTGAGATTTGGGGGGGGGGGGAATCAATCCAGAAATAAAACTTTAAAAAACTTATACAGAAAAAGGTTTTGAGACTAAGTTTGCTTTTTATCTGGATATAAGTTTTACAAAAAGAAGAAAAAACTGCATTTTTTACATGTTTAATATTCTTAAATTTATTTTCAAAACTTGTCTTTTTTAGATGTAATTGTGAAAATTGCAGTTTTTTCAAATTGCGTTTTCCATAACCCATTTTTTATCACTTCTGGGGGGCGGGCTTTCATCTAGAGGAAGAGGAGAAGATGCATTTTATTGGTCGGTACATTTTTACCTGGAAGAGAATGTGATCTGCAAAATGCAATTTGAAAAGAATGCAATTTTATCAATTAAAGCTGGAAAAAATATATGAAAAAACTTAAATCTTAAAAACTTAAAACTTAAATAAAAAAAATGTTAAAAAAAAATTTATAAAATAACAATTATAAAAAATAATAATGTTTAAGAAATGCATGAAAAATGTTACATCTAATTAAGAAAAAAATAATAAAAAAGGAAAGGTATTCTCAAAACCTCTTTTTGATTATGAACATTTTTCAAAATTTTGTTTCTTGATTGCATTTTTTTCCTTGCAAATTTGTACAGTATACAAAACCTGCCTGTAAAAATAATGGAACAAAGTTTACTCCATAGAAGACAAAGTGTAAATCTGTTAAATGAATACATTCATTTTGCTCTCATAGTTTGTCTGGTGTTCTCAACTTTCTTCCTGTTTCCACATGTTTCTCTCATCTTCCCTCTCTAACTGTCATTTGCCCATAAAACATCCACCATTTTGTCTTTATATTCTCCTTCTTTCTCCCCCCGTTCCCCTTTCTTTCTCTCCATTGTCCCTCCAGGAGCCACAGACTACTGTTATCCATAATCCAGTAGATGGAATCAAGGTACATCCTCTCTTTTCCTCCATCTCCTCGTTCCTCATCTTACCCTTCATTTGCCATCCTCCTCTTTACTCCGTTCCTCTCCCCTGGTGGGTTCAGCAGTGTTTTTTAAAGGGTCTTTTTTTGTTTCTACACTGTGAAGTTATTGTGATTTTCTTTCCCTGCATGACAGAGGTGTGTGGGCGTGGGGCTGTGGGTTTGTTCTTTTTGTCTTATGCTGCCTCACTGTGTTCAAACTAACGAAGCTCAGAGAAATGGGTAAATGTCAGCAGGAACAGAACCAGATTAACACTCATTCCACTCCTCAGAACTGTCTGCTTAGTGTGGCTAAACATTATACCTGTCTGCTTTTTTTTAATTCTATTTTATTTTTTCTCACGGATAGACAGCTCAATCCAGAGGTGGGATTGCAGCAGAGGCCAAATTGCGATGTTGTGTTTTGTTTTGTATTATTGGCAAAAGCTGTTGTGTGAACACATAGCTGTGCTGTAGGCTATACTGTGTAAGTGAGCTGTGTATAAATTTGCATGCTATATTAGGGGTAATGTCTTGTTTTTCTTTGCTTTTTATGATTTTAATCATCAGGAGGATTTATTCTTTTTGTTTCAGGGATCCTCCGACAGCAGTAACACCACCATTGAGGATGAGGACGTAAAAGGTAGGTTCCGGCTTCATTCAGAGCTTAGTTAAACAAGAACTCCTGAATATTAAAGTCTTTTCATACACTCGTGATGCTTTTTGCATTTTCTCCGATAAACTGCTTCTCAGAGCAGTCTGGCAATATGATTGAACCATGTTTATCTGCATTTTAGTTGTTTCTTTTTCTTTAGATTACGCACCATATACCATAATGTTAAAACAAAAGGAAAACATAAACCTCAAAAAGACTAGATTCATGTTTAAATCCAAAGCCGAAAAAGTTACCCACTGGAAGTAGCCTAGGATCCCATTTCCAGTGCAGATCGGGCCGAGACGAGTGATAAAACAGAAATGATTTTAAGGCATTTATTTTGTCAGAAAAAAGAATATTAACCTTGGACACATTATATTTTAGTACATTTACTATTTTTGGGAAGGAAAATCGTCATTTAGGTCTGTTCAACGAAATAAAATCTAGGGCAACCCGGATGTGTATCTGAATGCGCAATGCGCTGATGACGCATGCCCAGGACGGATCGTGCTTCCGGAACGGATCGGGTAGCGACACTCCCCATAAGTTGTGTTGGGATGTGATAAAGAACTTCCGCTTTTACTTCTTCGTCTGTTTAAAAAGTGGTGCACTCTTTTTCCTCTTTGTGTTTAAATAGCAGCTGAGATCCATAAGGATCATTACAGTCCAACAATCGGTGCAGTCTTTGAATCATCTTTATGTTAAGAGCAGCGCAAAATGGTACCGTAACAGCTGCTTCTGCCCGCAACATGCTAACACGCTTTTCTACCATAATAACAGTCTTTCACCCCTCATTCATAAAACCGTCGAATCAGGGACATTTCTGGGTACAGCTTTGGCTGGGGACGTGTCGTCCAAAACGGGGAGTTTCCCCGGAAATCAGGGACGTCTGGTCACCCTGGTTTAAAAGAACAGATTTAAAAGTTTGTTGTGTTTTTGTTTATTCACTGTTAGCCTTTATAGCTGGGTGGACACCTGCATCAAATACTATCAAATAACATAGCTAGCATTAGCTAGCATTATTCCTCCAACTCCCCCAGGGCCCTGATGCGATTAGTCCGTTAATTTGACAAAAAAAAAAGAAAAGCAGAGTTCTGAGGAACATCTCCTGTTTTTGTTTAGCCAAATAGGAGTAATGACCTCCCCAAGATGGCGGCTGTAATTCATTCCCTATTGAAACATGCTTCATGTCTATGGAACCTTCTGATTATAAACATGTTTGACAATTTTTCCTCTTTAATTTTAGTCCTTTATCCCAAAAAAATAAGTAAAATTTTATGTCAAAGATTCAAACAAACTGTAAAGATGAAATTAATCGCTCTTTAGCCAGTTCTTTCAATGCATTCGGATTCTTCATTTTACCGGGATTTAGTGAAATAGACCCAAACAGATTATCATAACGTTGATTTGAAGGGGAAAGAAAGTGTTCCATAGCTTTTAATTTTATCAAAATAAAAACGGCGTCATGAAGAGTCATGAAGGAAGCTGTGGAGATTTTAATTAAAATAAATATAAAAAATACATTGTTCTAAAATGTGACACTAGAAAACTATGGGAACATTTTCCCTCTGAATTTTCCCATTCCTAAGGGAGACATAAACAGCTTTGAGCCCCTGGAAGCTTTGAGGTGTTTAATGTCTTCCTCAGGGACTCACTAAGTCACCTATAGTTATTTACATGTGGACATCGATTAGCTGCTCAGTCTATGAATCTTTGTGGAACACAGTTCAAACAAAGCACCTTTCAAGAGAAAAAACACCATATGAAGTCATGGTGAAGCTTTTATTCACCAGGGAAAGTAAAGCTGGTCAAAGTGTTGAGAAGATAGGTGGAGCTTAATTGAGGGAAATCCTTCAAGGAACACAGAAGAAAAGAACAGAGACTGAGCTGGAGGTTCACCCTCCAGGAGAGCAACGTCACAAAACATACAGCCCAAATGACAGAAGCTATGGTTCTTGACTATGGTAACGACATTTAAGCAAAAGAAGAGTGCATCAGCGGTCGACATAAGTCCCGGAAGTAATAAAGAAAGTAGGAGGAGGAAGCAGAGAGCTTCCTATCATAGTTTTATTAGCATATAGGCATCTTCTGATGTTCCTATCCATGTCATGATTGCAGCCCCAGGTAGTTTCTCTGATTACTCACTTCATTCACCTGCCGTTCCCTCCCCTCTCTGTAATTATCATTTACTTGTTCACCTGCTGCCTCTACTATATATATGGTTTAGCCCAACTATCAGGGCCAGATCATTATTCTTGTATTCTTAGTTTATTTGCGTTATGTTTTCATGTCAGTTATTTATGTTTGTTAAGTGAGAGTTAATGGCATGCAGGGTGGAGTTGAGCGGGTGTATCAACTTGAGGATTAGGCCAGCACCAGTGCAGCGATTGTCACAATCTCAGCATAATAAGTAATTAAAATAATAAAAAATAATAATTTAATGACTTTTAATGATTTTTAATGACCCGCAGAGACCTTGTTTTCCAATTATGAAGCAGAATATGAAGGTCTGGATTCTGGCTTTGGGTGCTGTGCTCTGATTAAACAGTATTGTTTGAAACCTAATAAACACCGTCTTCTGCTAAATCCAACAAGACACAGACAGACCATTACACTACCTCCTACAACTGACAACCTCATGCTTTGTGCTACACCTACCAGCTACCATGCTAATCAGTGCCTAGGTTGGACCTTTCCGATGGAAAATTGTGCCACCTTGTAATTATCTATAAATATTTAGTGCATTGAAATAAAATCGATGTGATATTTTTAACTCTTGAGGTTTTCACCTCAAAGTTTCCTAAAAGGGCTTATGAAAAATGCTAAAATTTATTATAGTTTCCATAATTCTCATTTTAGCGGAATAAAGTCAGTGATTATGGCTGTCCTTTACAAGCTAATTTGTATGTATGTTGCTTCTAAAATAGTTATTGTCATGAACCGGGGACAGGTGGACCCAGTATTCAAGGAGAGACAGTCAGTAGGAAAGTTCAAAAAGGTTTATTAAATTAACAAAAGCTAAAGTTGAGCTGTGGCTCTTGGACACTGCAGGATGGGGAGCGGGGCACTGCTCAATCACAGACACTCTGGTTTAACAGTCCAGTCCAATAATGTCCCCAAATGCTGCAGTTCCAGAGGTCAAGCTGGAAGCTGATCCTGATCAGGGATCCAGATGAGGCAGGAACAGAAACAGGTGGCAGGATCCAGACTTCCAGGCAGGATCCACAGGCTCCCAGGAGGGTTCAGAGTCTGACAGGGTCTGAAAGCGTGACCAGGTGGTCACTCACAGGAGCAGACAGGATCAGGTGCAGACGGGCAGGCTCAGTGGCAGAGGGTAGCCGAGACAGGACGTGGAACCAGAACTTGATGCAGGACCTTTAAACTGGTCTCCTCCCTGGAGCCAGGCTTACTGGATAAAAACTGAACCTCCCCCCATAATGAGCCAAAAACCCAGAGGACTCCGCGGGGGAGGAACAGTGGACGATCAGGAGACGAGACAAACACAAAAACCCTCTTTCCACTGGCTGCTAGGATCCAGGACATGAACCATAAATCAAAATAACAGACAGTCTAACAGAAAGACAAGTAATGATCTGGCACTGAATGCTCAGGCTGAACTGAATATGACCAAGAGGAAACAGGTGAGAGGAATAAATTATAATTGAGGCAGATTTAGACTCTTAGGGTCACACTTTTCTCCATTTATAGTTATAATGGAGGATTTTTGTGAATAAAAAAAAAAAAAAAAACACCCTCTCCATGTACATGCACAACCCTGTACCCGCTCATGTGAAGGATAGCCTATTTAACGCTTCTAAGAGCATGCATGAGCCCATTTTTCCTCGTGCACATTATGTTTGACAGTTGCTGTTTGCATCGCTCATACAATCTTACTTTCCAAAAGAAGATTTGCAATTTTTTCACTATGTGAGACTCACCACCGGTAAGATGGTGGAGACAAGCACATAGGGCGGCATTACATGAACATATCACCAGAATGATTGACAATTAGGAGAAGTACCCTATTTTCATGATCCACCCGGAAAAATAACATCCTCTACTATACCTTTAAGCGCTTGTTATTTGAAAAAAAACAACAGATTTTTTAAATTTAACTTTAACTAGACAAGAAAATAGCTTTTATCAAGAAATATTGAAAAGTTCAAGTTATCATTACTATCAACGCCTCTACAGGGCGTTGCAAAGAAAATGAAAGTAGATAGAAATGCATATAAAGAGGGAATAACTCCCCTATGACAGAAAGCCAAGCACACTTACAAAGCTGCGATGTAGGTCAGAGCACGGCTACAGTAGCCGATCAGTTCTTATTACACTGTTTCACTGAGGCTTTACATCAGACAAACTAAAGCATATCTTGTAAAATATCAGTTTATCGTTAGGTTTACATAAATATTTCATCCCTGGCTGCTTATGTAAGCAGCTCAAAGTCCCGATCACGACCTTGCATGTTTTAAATACTTGAAGGCCGATTTGTAAGACTGTCCAAGCTTTGGATTATGGGAGAGAATTATCTCTTTCTTTCATAAAGGACAGTCGAGGAGATTACCAAAAAGGAGCGCTGAAGCTCTTCAGCATTAAGGGCATCAGATCAAGCTCTTCTCATGACGAGTTCTCTTAAAAGTGCATGGGACAACAGAAGAGAAAGACCTTCATACAGTGAGAGGTACCTAACTGTACTACAGAACTTAACATGCCAGCATCTTGGGTGATTTTTTTACCCATTCCTGCAACCATATCTCCTGCAGATAAAACTCATCTGTAGCGCTTCTGCCTCCAGAATGTTAAAGTCGTAAGGAAATCCTATTTAAATGTCAAATTATTCTGGCTTAAATGTATATAAATGTACTCTTTATCAGACGATTTTGTCCCAAAAATTTGAAAATTTCTGTTTTTAAAAATGCTGTCTTAAAATCTGTGTGGGTTTTTTTCGTTATCTTATGCAGGGCAGTTAGTTATACGTCAGCCTGAACACCTTAATTCGGCCAATCATATATCAACGGTCATCTGCCAATCAAATTTTTTAGGTCATATCATCTTGATTCATATGTCGCAGCTAATATACGCAACGGTTGCAATAAGAAATAAGAATCATTTCCTTTCCCACTGAGTTCCGTCCCAGTGTTCACGGGGATGGACGTCTGTGTCTTCAGCAGGCGTAGAGCTAACAGAACTGGCAGCGTTGCGAGGCAAGGGCTCAAACATGTACGGCTGTAAGCCTTCTACACCAAACCAAGCTTCTGCCGCCCTGGCTTCCTCTTCCACAACCTACTAGCAGTTGCTAACTGGTTAGCAAGATGCTTCCAACAAACCGGCCATAATCAAACTTGCTTGCGAACCTATGACCACAACAATCCCGCCCCCTTAATAAACAACCAATCACATTCACTTTATTCACTCTTGTAAAGTCGTGCTAACCTGACTCCGCTAGATGGATTTGCTCCGCATATCCATCTGGAAACCTTCAGTTGAAGTAATTTTGGGAAGGGGCGAAAATACTGGTTAGCTGATTGGCCTATGTTGGTGATAGACGGGCCTAATAAACCAATCAGATCAACAAAGCATATGACGTACTAACAGAGCGACGACAAAAACACAACCACAAGCCAGGCTACTCTTGCCGAAACCAGTCGGGAGAAGAGCAAAAACATCTTTTCCTCTGAGAAAAGCCTCCAGAGCAGTGTTTTGCTCTTCTTTCAGTGAAGAAATACTCTGTTATTCCGATAAAACTTGCTCGATAGCCACGCTAACGCTAGTTTCATCGGCTGAAGCCGCCATGTTCTTTAGACTGAACTGTCGCGCTTCTCGTTGCGTCACACCTCAACCCGCCTCAAAGCCAACGCTGATTGGACGTTCGTTTGGTGAACGGCTCCAAATTTTCTTTAACGGAGAGTCTCCAGACTGATTAGCGAGTGAAACCTTGAAAGCTTGCGAGATCAGGATGGTCTCATGAGGCTAAAGTCGTGCACCACTAGGGAAAATTTGTACCTGCAATGGTCGGAACGGCTGCTTCCCTACGACTTTAAGAATGTTTGTGAAGTTTTTATGAAATCATGTGACCGGCTAAAAAAAACGAATATGTTGGTTTTAGCAGAACATGATTGATGAAAATGGTTGCTGTGTGGTAGAGCTGTCACCAGGGTTAACTCTTAAGTTAGGTCACTAAACTAGTACTTAAAAGTAAAAAGTAAAAGTATTATCAAATATTTAATAGTTCACTGTATGTTGCTTAGCAACACTGCTGCTACCAAGTGGTTGATTTCTTTTGGCTTGTTGGAAACTATCTCTAACACTGTCCCAAAGTGAGAAATAAAACTTCTCAAATGTTTTTGCTCTGGTCTCATAATAAAAACATAAATATGGAAAAGAGATTTTGCATGAAGGATTCCTGCAGTAGTTTTTCTCTCTCTGTGCTTGGCTCTGTCATCATCATTTCTAACAGATGGGAGCAATGATTGGCTCCCACAGTCCAAAAGCATGACTGTCAGGTTAATTGGCTTCTCTAAATTGCCCTTAGGTGAGTATCTCTGTGTTGCCCTGTGACAGACTGGCGACCTGTCCAGGGATGACCCTCACAGAGATAGACACCGGCCTGATGGGATAAGCGGGAGAAGATAGATGGATGGAAACATGTTTTATTTTAGTTGAGCCTTGGATTGTAAGGCAGATGTTTTACCAGTTTTATTATAAAAGTCGTAGCTGGCAATTGGGCAGGAATTGTTCCTTCCAGTTCAATGTAAGCTTACTTGACAATAGGGTACACCGAAATAGGAAACATTTACGTGACAGATAAGGCCTTTGGGCTAACAAAGAGTTTGCATGTTCTCTCCTGGTACATCAGCTTCCTACCACAGTCCAAAAACATGACTGTTACTTATGAAATTCTCTTTAGGTGTGAGTGTGAATAGTTGTTTGTCTCTTTGTTGCCCTTTGATGGACTGGCGACCTGAACAGTTTTTACCCCTACGTCTTTTCACAAGTGTCTTTGTTTCCTTTCAAAGGTTGAAAACATGAAATTATCCTTAAATTAAACTGGTAATGGGGCTGCTCAGGAAGAAGGTTATTGGTTCGATTCCTGGCAGGGGTCTTTCTGCATTGAGTTTGCCAGCTCTCCCTGAGCATGCGCGACTTCTCTCCGGGTACTCTGGCTTCTTCCCACAGTCCAAAAACATGACTGTTAGGTTAATTGACTTCTCTAAATTCTCCTGTGTGTGAATGGTTGTTTGTCCTGTTTGTCTCTGTGTTGCCCTGCAATGGACTGGTGACCTGTCCAGGGTGGACACCACCTCTCACCCTTAGACAGCTGGAGGCACCAGTACCCCTCGTGACACCGCTTGGGATAAGTGTGATGAAAAATGGATAGATGGTTGAATCACGGAGGATGCATTCAGTCTGACACAATGCAAGTCTACTGTAGCTGGTATAAAATATCAATGTTAAATTCGCACTTTTTTACATCATAATTAATATGGATCCAATGTAAAATGACAAGCTGAGTTTAAGTGATATAAGGTTGTAAAACTATTCCAAATGAATTAGAATTAACTGTGAAAAAGACAGATAATGGGTCTAAAATGGTCATAAATAAATAACTAAACCTTTTAGAAAGCCTTACCAGAACAGTTACAGTAGTTATGGTCGTTAAGACTGAACCGGTGTCCTTTTATATTAAGAATTACACCTGTGTTCTCGTTTTGACAATGTTGCATATAATCATTCACTAATGACACAGTTATCAGGTGATAAGGTTCAGGTGAGAGCGCAGCTGGTTCCGCCTAGAATGAGCGCAGCAGGAAGAGCTGGTTTTGAGCAGGCGGATCGAGAGAAAAGTGAAAAAGTAAAACCACCTTGGATCATGGCTTTTTCCGGTGGGAACCTTTTAAATCTTATTTGTTTTAATCAGCAGAAACTCAGTCGTCACTTTGATACACAGAAAAAAAAAAATGCTTTGGTTATTATTTTGTTTGTACCTCTTTTTGGCATTTATTTTTTCTTTTTTTTTCTCCCGAAAATATATCGTTTCTGTTTATTTAATACTCTAAGCAGCTTAAGTGAAATATCCTTTCATCTGGGCTATATTTTAGTCTTACCAAATGTTTTGCTGTATCAAATAGACAAAGGACCCAGCAGCAGGAGTTTGTTAGATGGGACTTTATTGTAATTAAAACTGAAATGTTGCTTTAAGCACATTAAAGCGGAGAACGCTCTGATGTCTCTGTTGCCCCGACTTTTTATTATGTGACATGCAGCTAAGTGACAGAAGAGCATGTAGATGGAGTACAGAGGTGCTTTCATGATAGAGAAGGGTACAGTAAGCAGAGAGAGAGAGAGAGGATGAGAGAGGGTGAGAGAGGGAGGGGGAAAGTAGACAATCTGAGTGAGTTAAGCCCTTCAGTTAGTGTGGGGAGGAAGCCACGGGAGAAGGACAGGGTAAATCTCATCCTGGGACAAGAATAGCACAATGATCTCCAGCTGCCCTGTGTGTACAACAGAGGTGTGATGGATGATGAATGGAGGTAGAAGGCAACGTGGTGCCAGGACACAATGGGGGGTACGTAAGCCGTGGGGTCTTCTCTGTGTAAAGTTTATTGAGGAGATCGGAGCAGGATTAGGATCGCCGTTCTCACGCAGGCGGGTCGTCTCTATCTGTAACTTGCTTCAGCCTCCGGCTTAGCTGCAGCTGCACAATGAACGACACTTTGGAAGCAATCACATCCCTCTTTCTTTCCTTCCTCTCCACAGCTCGCAAACAGGAGATCATAAAGATCACGGAGCAGCTTATCGAAGCCGTCAACAACGGAGACTTTGAGGCCTATGCGTGAGTCCCATACACCCCCCCTCCTATTCCTCATCCTTCACTGCTTTTAAAAGTTCATCCAGCTGCAGGGAAGTGCAGCCTGTAAAGTGAGCATTTAAGCGCTCCATCAGCCATTAATCTGATTGACATACAAAACGTGTTGTATTAAAAGATTAAAGAGTAATTACATTCATTGTTTTATCCTCCCCCACCCCTCTGCTTACCATATAATTAAGAATAATGCCAGGCAGATTGAGGCAGAGGGATGGGAAGGGCTCGGTTAAATGTGTCCTCCATGATGGAAACACAAGTTCAAAAAAAATAGAAGAAAATATAGAAAAGATTAATGTGATGAAAAAAAGGAGCCACAGTTGTTTCCAGTAAAGCTCAAACTTATTCATTCCTCGGGCGCATTTAGATTAGAAGTTATTTTCTTTCAGCCAGGATGGTTATTTCTGATAGGGAACGGGACAAGCGTCTCTCAAAAGGTAATAAAACTATGTGAAAAGAGCATCAGTTTAAAGAAAAATAGCTTTATTTTACATTTTGCAAAAAAAAATTCTTACAAACTATTACTCATACCCTTATCCATATAAACAAATAAACTTTTATTGCCAGCACAACAACCAGACGCCTCTTATGGCTTTCTGCATGCTTTATCAATGAGTGTCAGGTCTTTAAGATCTGCAGGCCTGATCTCACCAACTCCATGATGCCAGAACTCACTTTTTACAACAAAATAAAATCCTTGAATTTGACATATTTTTATACTTCGGGTCAGAAGTTACCGCTCTGTTCGGCCGATGTGACGTTAAGCGCATCCATGTTGAATGAGTCCAACCTAGAAGGGTGCAGTTCTGTGTTTTGGCCACGGATGACATCATCATTAGAAAACCCCATAATGCTTCTTTAAATGATATAAAATAACTTTTAAATAACATTGCAACACTATTCCGTCCACAGATTTCCAGAAATACTTCCCACACACAGTATCGCTCTCCATCCAGGATGTATTAATGTAACGTCTTGCTGGCTATGACCTTCATCAGACATTTCAGACAGTTCTACCCTAAGTCTAACCTATATATACACCTTGTAGGTAAACAGTAGTGATGTTATGAGATGAGCCGAGGTGTATGTTGAGTAGTGGAGGCAGCGTTTCCGCAAAACGCATATCGAGGCTTGCTTTATTGAGGTGAGGGGCTGAAATCGATGATGTCCGAAGCGTCACTAGCGCCATACCATGACTGCTTCAGCAAGTGGTTCAGATCACCTGCAAACTTTGACAGGCATTTCAACAGCCTCAGTATTCAGTCAAGATGTAGGAGTTTGTAGGAGAGTTGTGGTCAGTTGGATCGAGTTTAGACAGATTCTAAGAAAATATTGGCTGTAAAAACAACCAATCTAGTTGGTCAAAACTATTTTGGTTAGATTGAACAAGGCAATGATCCGAAACTAACTAGTGTTGCACCGATACCAGTATGGGGCCCCGATCCAGCACTAGAATGGTGGTATCAGTATCAGCGAGTACCAAAAGATCGGGCACCGATACGAGAGCCAAAAGTTTATTCAACTATTGTCACCCATTCCAGGTAGGCAATAAAAAGTTCTAGTGGATTCACTTTATATTAGTCTTTTTCCTGATTCACAAAGGTAGGCAGCAGCTTGATAAAGCCATGGTGGCAATTATTTTACATCCAGGTAGTATGCAGTTCTTCATATATACACACACATCAATTTCAAACAGATGGTATCGGTATCAGCCGATACTGCACAGCCAGGTATCGGGTATCGGGGCCAACTGAACTGAATTTAATTGAATAGATTGGGTCATAACACTACCAAATTAGATTGATTGGAAACACTGTGGAAAAAATATTACGTTTAAATAAAAATGACTATAACCCTTAATTTTGCTCATCATTGCCCAAGTTCACTTCAATTCAATTTCAATTGAGTTTATTTCTATGGCGCCAAATTCACAACACATTTTATCTCAAGGCACTTTACATTTCTACCAGATCATACAGTCTGATTCAAAGTTTTCTATCTAAGGAAAACCAGTTAATTGCAGCGACTCATTGACTCAAAGGCAATCCCTCACACTAAGCATGCTTGTAGCGACAGTGGAGAGAAAAAACTCCCTTTTAACAGGAAGAAACCTCCAGCAGAACCAGGCTCAGTGTGAGCGGCCATCTGCTGAGGCCGACTGGGGTTCAAGGAGACGGAAGCAGAGACACAAAAAGCAGCTGTATAAGGCGGCCCCGTCCAGGAAACACACAGCCAGGCAGACGAGCTCCAAGCCAGTACCCATGCCAGAGGACGAAGAGAGCACATCCAGCCAGTCACAGTCAGAGAAACAGGACTACACTGGAAAACAGGCCGATCTCCAACATCTATAAACAAAGGTGTTGATGGCAGCAGCACAGCTGATATTTCTCTCCAGGATGGAGTCACAGCCAAACAGTAACAGACCAGATGAAGCTACTATGAGAAAAAGCAGAGAGATCAGAACGTTAGAGATTGAACTAACAGATTCTGCAGAGTGTGAGAATAGAGATAGAATGAAGCAGAATGATGAAAAAGGGGTCCCTGTGTCCTCCAGCAGTCTAAGCCTATAGCAGCATAACTATAGAGATAGCTCAGGATAACCTGAGCCACCCTAACTATAAGCTTTATCAAAAAGGAAAGTTTTAAGCCTAGCCTTAAAAGTAGACAGGGTGTCTGCCTCACGGACTAAAACTGGTAGTTGGTTCCACAGGAGAGGAGCCTGATAACTAAAAGATCTGCCTCCCATTCTACTTTTAGAAATTCTAGGAACCACTAGTAAACCTGCAGATTGAGAGCGAAGTGCTCTGTTAGGAACATAAGGAACAATCAGATCTCTGATATCAGATGGAGCTTGGCCATTTAAGGCTTTATATGTGAGAAGGAGGATTTTAAATTCTATCCTGGATTTAACAGGAAGCCAATGAAGAGAAGCCAGGATAGGAGAGATGTGATCTCTCTTTTTAATTTTCATCAGAACTCTGGCTGCAGCATTTTGGATCAGCTGAAGGCTTTTAACTACAGTTTGTGGACTTTCTGATAGTAAAGAATTACAATAGTCCAGCCTTGAAGTAACAAATGCATTGCAAATCGGTAACAACAGTTATATATCTAGAAAATCCCAGAAACAAGCACATTTGATTGTTTCTGTTAATCATATAAGGATCATGTTGTTAAAGTACTCACCTACAAACAAAAAATGGATAATACATCACACTTAAATATTGCAGTGTTATTATCAATATTACAATTACTTCCCTTGGTTCAGATTAACCCAAAAAAGTAGTATTTCAAACCTCTAATGAACATAAGATAATATTTCACCAATTTACTGATGTGGAATAACTCAGAGCCATCAGAGCGATTCTAATGTCCATAGATTCTATGGATTCACTTTTACTGAACTTGACCTGTTTATTTTGTTAAAAACAGTAAACTTTGTACTACTTTGTTGTGGTCTGTGAGAGGAAATACTTATATTTTACATTTACGGTTTCTACACAACATGAGTTTGCAGACTGAGGCATTGTTTTTTTAAAGCATCAAGTCGATCCCCAGGTCTCAATGATTGCAAATCAGTGAAATGATTTGGCCACTAATAGAGGCAGCAAACAGCTTAGAGTTTTTACAACAACAAAAAAACATCTTTCAACAACAATCGTTACAGTTTTTCAGTTTTTTTCATACATGTGGTGGTATCTATCATACGTTTTTTAAACGTTTTTTTAAAGATTTATATTGCTGTTTTCTTGCAGGAAGATCTGTGACCCTGGCCTTACCTCATTTGAGCCTGAGGGGCTTGGAAATCTGGTAGAGGGGATGGACTTCCACAGATTTTACTTCGACAATCGTAAGATCAAAACGTTAATTTATGTAAGATAATTTTTCTTAAAACTACATCAGGTCAGAATGTAAGAATATAAGAGGTCCTCTTATATGGAGTGGATTTTGTTCCATTACTTTTGCAAGCAAAAAAAATAAACGTTTTTGTATGTGAAAAATGAAAATAAATATAATCCTCTACAGTTTTCTCAGATGTGTTTTTTTAAGCTTTTTTTATTGATTCATTTTTCCCAAAAAAAAATCTTAGCATTTTTTTTTACAGATTTAAAACTTTTTTTTTTTACAGATTTTTATATTCCCAAAAAAAAAAAGATAAAATTTCTGTAAGGGACTTTAAAGGTATACTATGCAACCGGTGTTGATTTTCCACCGAGGCTCCCCCCAGAGGGCGAAAGTAAAAGTGCACTGTCGTAAATATGCTCAGCTGTTCTCCTGGTTTCTCCGTCAAGCCAGGCGCGGTTGTTTTGAGCTTAGCAGACAGGCGAACGCAACGAATGAATAAGCATCTGACGCCGCGTGACGCGCCGCAAACGTGCTGCTGCTCGAGTTGGAAAAATTTAATTTTTGCTGCTCGATGCGCCGCGTCAACCAATCAGAGAAGCTTATCTGGGAGCTGGCAGGGAGAGAGACACAGCGCTGATGATCAGAGCGCTGTGATCACTCCTCTTAAACAGTTTATTGACGCATAATTAACTAAAATGCAGAAATCTGCCGCCAGAATATGTTGGCTTTTATTATCCTGCTGCCTGCAGTTTGGATTATTTAGATGAAAAATACCTACCAGCTGCCGCGGTGAACCGCGAGGAGGCGACCCGGCCAGAGGCTGCTGATGAATGGATTCCTACTGTCGGCGCACCGCTGGTATGTGGGGGTCTGAGCGGCTCCGACAGAAAAAATATTGAAGGCAGGATGATAATCTGAATGAACTGACTGCACTGATTACGTTTTCAGGTGTATTTTCTCACTTAAAAACATATTAAAACTACTTTATTCCCACTGATCACAGCAAATATAGCTGCAAGGCAGAGAAAGGATAGAGTAGCTCCGCCCAACGCGCGTCAGACACACTTTTACACCGCGCAGCCAGAGCAGCAAAGCTGCTTCAGCCGTGCGTCAGAACTAACTGGTACAAGCAGTAAAAATGAAGCAGCAGACGCGATTTTGCTGCGTCTGGTGTGAAAGCAGCACTGCACAAAGATCGCCACTGTGCTAGCAACGAGAATGCTTTTAACTGGGGGGTGTAGCAGTTCTCGCCGTAAAGCAAGACTGACTCTCGCGAGACTTTGTTCAACCTGAAATGACTCATTTAATCATCCAAAACGTTATGGAACACATTAATTAACAGAAAAATGTTGCATAGTGTGCCTTTAAAAGCATTCATTTCATAAGTAACTAGAAATATTTTAATGTGATTGAAATGTGATGTGAAATTTGAGTGTTAGAGCAGTGCGCTTGTGCTTTGAGAAGGTTGCAAGTACCTGTTTCGATGCCCACAGCCTGCACTCTGGGTCCCTGAGCAAAACCCTTAACTCCCGATTGCTCTCCGGGTGCCGCACAATCGCAGCCAACTGCTCCCCAAGGGATGGGTTAAATGCAGGGAATGAATTTTCCCCATTGTGGGACAATAAAAGGATTTCCATGTGTTAAAAAAAGATTAACGCAAATATTTAAATTTTCTTATATGCATCCAAACACACAGGACTGAGCCTGTTATAACTCATAAAATCAATGTATAAAAAAATTATATATCTTTTGGTTTTATTAACCTTAAAAGGCACACAGTGTAACTTTTGGCAACTAGGGGCACTAGACCTGTAACTGCTTGCATTTTGCTTCTGCTAAACATAGAAAATAATGACTGTATACTAGGAGCAACGCGTTGAATTACCAGTCTAATAATAAAGTTGAGAAAAGAAAATCAGTTTTACATCTGACTTCTTTCCAAGATTGACTCTTGTTTTTCCTTGCACACAATCCCTTTCATGTTTTCTCTTTTTAGCCTCCTCAAAATGTTTATATTAGTGCTGTCAGACGATTAAAATATTTAATCATGATTATTCACATTAATGTCATAGTTAACTTGCAATTAATCGCACATTTTTATCTATTCTAAATGTCCCTTGATTTCTTTGTCACATTATTTTTTCTCATTTTAATGCTCTTATGAATATGGAAAAGAAGATAGGGTTGCTTTATGCAAATGTTTTTTATTGAAAACAACATTGGCATAATGTAGTGTTCAGTTTCACTCTAACATTTTCACTTGGAGCAGTAATCTCTCTCACAATGGCTGCAGTAAGTTTATTCTTAGTTAAAGTATCCATGCGCTTCTGTCTGAAATCATCCATAGTTACCTGGCCTTGACGAGGGGGTGGAGAATTCGAATCAGCTGAGTGCTTGGCCATTAAGTGGTATTTCAGACTGGTCGTGCTGCGATGATAGCTCAGTTCACAAAAACAAAACACACAGATCACTTTGGTCTTGTCAATGGAATCATTTGGCAACTTTTTAAAAGAAAACTTTCCATTCAGAATACTATCGGCATCCATTTCGGCGTCTCATGCTAGCCATCCACTCTAAATGTAACGTCAACTCTTTTAATGGCCCAAGTGTGGTTGCAGCGTGCCTGATGTTTTGTTTCCGGTCTAACTAGATCCGGATTGGTGTTGTAGTTTTTCTAACGTTACTAGTTGTTGCAACAGCATGTGAAAAAACGACAAAGTGTGCTAGGCCAAAAAGAACGTTAATCAAACGATACAAAAATTGACACCGTTAAAATGGGTTTACAGTAACGCCGTTATTAACGCGTTTAACTGACAGCACTAGTTTATATATATATATATATATATATATATATATATATATATATATATATATATATATATATATATATATATATATATATACACTCACCGGCCACTTTATTAGGTACCCCATGCTAGTAACGGGTTGGACCCCCTTTTGCCTTCAGAACTGCCTCAATTCTTCGTGGCATAGATTCAACAAGGTGCTGGAAGCACTCCTCAGGGAGTTTGGTCCATATTGACATGATGGCATCACACAGTTGCCGCAGATTTGTCGGCAGCACATCCATGATGCGAATCTCCCGTTCCACCACATCCCAAAGATGCTCTATTGGATTGAGATCTGGTGACTGTGGAGGCCATTTGAGTACAGTGAACTCATTGCCATGTTCAAGAAACCAGTCTGAGATGATTCCAGCTTTATGACATGGCGCATTATCCTGCTGAAAGTAGCCATCAGAAGTTGGGTACATTGTGGTCATAAAGGGATGGACATGGTCAGCAACAATACTCAGGTAGGCTGTGGTGTTGCAACGATGCTCAATTGGTACCAAGGGGCCCAAAGAGTGCCAAGAAAATATTCCCCACACCATGACACCACCACCACCAGCCTGAACCGTTGATACAAGGCAGGTTGGATTCATGCTTTCATGTTGTAGACGCCAAATTCTGACCCTACCATCCGAATGTCGCAGCAGAAATCGAGACTCATCAGACCAGGCAACGTTTTTCCAATCTTCTATTGTCCAATTTCAATGAGCTTGTGCAAATTGTAGCCTCAGTTTCCTGTTCTTAGCTGAAAGGAGTGGCACCCGGTGTGGTCTTCTGCTGCTGTAGCCCAACTGCCTCAAAGATCGAAGTACTGTGCGTTCAGAGATGCTCTTCTGCCCACCTTGGTTGTAACGGATGGTTATTTGAGTCACTGTTGCCCTTCTATCAGCTCGAACCAGTCTGGCCATTCTCCTCTGACCTCTGGCATCAACAAGGCATTTCCGCCCACAGAACTGCCGCTCACTGGATGTTTTTTCTTTTTCGGACCATTCTCTGTAAACCCTAGAGATGGTTGTGCGTGAAAATCCCAGTAGATCAGCAGTTTCTGAAATACTCTGACCAGCGCTTCTGGCACCAACAATCATGCCACGTTCAAAGTCACTCAAATCACCTTTCTTCCCAATACTGATGCTCGGTTTGAACTGCAGGAGATTGTCTTGACCATGTCTACATGCCTAAATGCACTGAGTTGCCGCCATGTGATTGGCTGCTTAGAAATTAAGTGTTAACGAGCAGTTGGACAGGTGTACCTAATAAAGTGGCCGGTGAGTGTATATATATATATATATATATATATATATATATATATATATATATATATATATATATATATATATATATATATATATGAACAGCATATACCACTCCGCTCATATTCGGTCTGGGGGTTTTATCTTTAGGATGCACTAGCCTCTGTTTCAAGCCAAACCAAACCCTTAAACAGAGGCTAGTGCATCCTAAAGATAAAACCCCCAGACCGAATATGAGCGGAGTGGTATATGCTGTTCAGTGCAGCGAGGAATGCTCTGATCTTTATATTGGCGAAACAAAACCACCTCTCCACAGACGCATGGCCCAACACAGAAGAGCGGCCGCCTCTGGACGAGACTCCGCAGTACACCTACACCTTGTGGACAAAGGACATTCTTTTGGGGACCAGAATGTCCATATTCTGGATAAAGAAAATAGGTGGTTTGAGAGGGGCGTGAAGGAAGCCATCTATGTTAAGAGAGAAAAACCAACTTTAAACAGAGGTGGTGGACTCCAGCTTCCAAAAACATACAATTCAATCATAGACATGATCCCTTCCAGATATCACCAAACCCCCCACCCCATCACAGAGGAACGAGGGACCTACCCGCCCCAGCCGGTGAACAATACCTCCTTAACGACCAACCCTTAACAATCATAGACAGGTTTCAGGTATTACAGGAGACAACCCCCCCCCCTTAATGGCAATCCCCCCTTTAACGACCGACCCCTAGAATCATAGACAGGTTCAGATATTACAGGCTAACGATGGAACTAACGACCCATTCATCGGTTACCATTGCATGTTTCCAAGCGATACAAGGCGTTGTCTATATAAGACTCAAACTCACTGCGGATCCAGACATTTGAATTGAGAAAGCTTCCTGGAGAGGTGGCGAAACGTCTTCAGATCTTGAAAACCAAGTCCAGTGGATATTTTTTGAATTTTTACGGAATAACAGAGAGATGCTTTATGTAGGAGGGGTGAAGGGCTACAGTCTAATGATGCCTTCATTTGCCTTTGTTGCCATATACAGTGATGGCCAGAGGTACAGTCACTATCATTTATTAAGTGTAGCTCTACTTCATAGTTTTACTCAAGTACTCAATAAGTAGAAATTGTTATTCACAGAAATACTTAAGAAAAAGAAGTTTATTGGTTAAAAAGGTTGCGCAAATGCTTAAAATGAAATAATCAGGCAGACAAATATTATACATTTTTAGTGCATCTCAAATGTGAAACACAATACGAATACACATTGTGGAATAACGGATCTATCTTCAAGCATCACACGACAACCATCACCAAGACTTCTATAAAGCGGTTTTAACAGCTTTGGTTATTAACACAACAGTGACTTCAGCAGGGTTGCCAGATGTCACTGACTCACGTCCTAGATGTACAAAATCTCATCCAATTTGAACCAAAGTCTATTAATCTCTAAGGCCATAAATCTAAAGAAAAAAAAATGTTTAACCCATAGATGGCCATCCTAAACGGCCAGATTGGGAAACATCCCAACCTGGCAACAATGCACGCAAGACTGGAAACGTAGCCTTTACATGCAAAACCCCATCATTCACCACAACATATGTTTGCTATATATTCCAACATAAATTCACCAAATATAAGAGGAACATCGTAGTTTATGGAAGTAAATCTGTGTCGCTGGGATTTGAATAAAAAATGCCACTGAAATTTAAATGTTGTATGTTTGTACTTACTGTTTCAGTGTTAAAATATTTTCAGTACACATTTTTGACCTAAAAAAAATAAATCATTGTCATTATTTCTACACAGTTGAAATTTAATTTGTTATTTTCTCTTCAAGCTAAAAATTCACATTACTATTTCAAAATGATTACATTTTCAATACTTTTTTTTGAATTGCTAACGTCTGTGACCTGAAGTAACCCTTCCCTTTTTACACTGAATTTAGATGCCGAATTTAAGACAGTGAAAATGAGCCAGTTGAATCTCAGGAGGCTGAAAATATTGAGTTTAAATTTTGAAAGGTTGAATTTTTTTATATGCAGATTTTTTAAATACAGAAAAAATTAACCTGAAAAATAAGTATTGAAAATGTAATCACTTTGAAATAGTAATGTGAATTTTTAGCTTGAAGAGAAAATAACAAATGAAATTTCAACTGTGTAGAAATAATGACAATGCATTTTTTTAGGTCAAAAATTTGTTCTGAATATATTAAAAATGACACCATATGCCAACCGTCAAAAGGATGAGCATGACAAGGAAAATTTCGATTAAAAATATTTATCGCTTTACTTTCGGAGATGGACTTTCATCTGGAAATGAAATAAAAAAACATTAAAAAAAAGAAGAAAAATCGAAAAATAACTGAAAATAAACTTGAAAAATTAAAAAAGAAGTGAAATGAAAAAATTTGTGAAAACCACAAAGTGTTGTTTAGATTCATTTTGAAAACGGGTTTCAAAGTTTCATTTCTGTTTTGAATTTTTTTTTTTCACTTCCATTGACAAAAGCTGTTCTATCTGTGCAAAAATAATGGAGCAAAATTCACTCCATAGTTCTCCTTTCTCTCAGTCCTTTCCAAAAACAGCAAACCCATCCACACCACCATCCTCAACCCGCACGTGCACATGATCGGAGAGGACGCGGCCTGCATCGCCTACATCCGCCTGACGCAGTTTGTGGACAGCCAGGGCCGTCCCCGCTCCAGCCAATCAGAGGAGACCAGAGTATGGCACCGCCGGGACAGCAGGTGGCAGAACGTGCACTTCCACTGCTCGGGAGCCCCTGCTGCGCCGCTGCAGGGATGAGGTAACAGAGCTCTGACAGGATGCAGACTGCGCTTCAGAGAATCAGACCATGATAAATCACTTTGACATGTTTTCCAACTTTTTGGTTAAGATAAAGTGTACAAACATTTCAAGCCTGTTGATTAAATCCCAAAGTCACTTCTTGATTTCCCTACTCTGCCCCCGTAAGATTCCTGATGAGACAAACATCTTCCGTCCGCAGACCTCTGCAGATTTTCTGCCAAAATAAGTGTTAAAATCTGGTACCATATTCTGAAAAATTGAGATTTCCTCTCATTAAAGCAAAACTGTGTAACTTTTGACCCAAAATAGTAGCTTAATTTTACATATATAGCTCGATATACAGCATATATGAATGTTTTTGTTCTAGCTGCCCTTCACCAAAAGGTCCCCCCCCCAGGTGATTTAATGTGCTCATCTTGACATAATTTATCACCTCCTTAATAAGCCTCTCCCCTCTAAACCAGAAGGTGGCGGCAGAGATACTTTGAGGTGGAACATTCTAAATAATTCAATTTAATTGTTTTCATATTAACCATAAACTAACAACAAAAATGCATTAATTAAGTATTCACATCAAAACACTGACAACTAAAGATGACAAACAGAATCCATGGGCTTTTCAAAATAATTCATTTTTTCTGTATTTTATTTTTTTTAACATTGTCCTGTCTGGCAATGTGGCAATAAGAATATTTGTCTAGATAACAAAAAGAGCCCAACAGATTTTACTTTCACAAGTGGAACAGTACAGCTATCGCCATAGTGTTCTGCTTTATTTATGCATGTAAATAACTTTATTATGATTATGCAGGGAGTATTACAGATTATAAGGACACTGCAATGTAAATAAGAACAGGAAAGGAAAACCAGGAAATAGGAGAAAAGATGAAAGAAAAAAGAGATAAAAGGGAGATAACAACTTAACGTCCTCAGTCTGCTTCATCACTTTTGAAGAGATGTAAAAAGAACAGCAAAACCAACGTATATAGTATAAGAGATACAATAAAGTGGCACCTCACTTTTCCTGTATTGATTGAGAAGAAACAGGAATGCGTCTCTTCAAGTCATGTAATTAGATGTTTTCTATGTAATAACAGATAAAAAACAAATGTTTGACCCATTTAATGTGTATGCAGGTCCATAAATGATTAATTTGGACATCATATATGTATAAATATATGTGTAGATGTTGTTTGACAAGGACTTCATAGAATCTGGTCCGTTTTCAATGATTCATTTGAAAATTTGGTGGATTTGTCGTTTGGTAGATTGCGTGCTTTGCATAGAATGTCCCTAAACCTGGAAGTTCAACGTCTAGCTCCCCTGGTGGCCAACATATAAAGTTTCTTTTTTTATTATTATTATTATTTTTTTTATTATTATTTTTTTTTTTTGGGGGGGGGGGTTATTTTTTATCATCAGCTTTTAAGTCAGAAACTAAAGCTTTGTGCTCATGCATTTAGTACATTTTATATATTATTTCAACAACCTTCATATAAACTGTATTTGTACAAAAAACCCCAAAAGAAACCAGTATCATGGTGCTGCCACCACCATTTTTCACTGTGTTTAGAACAGCTGTGTTTTTCTTAGATTTTTGAATAGTTATAAATTTGTTTTATATCTCAGAACAGAGGGACCAAGCATTTAGGCAAGACAGACAGTGGAATTATTCAAAAGGCGTTTATTAGAACTACGGGCTGCAGATCGGCTCTAGCAGTGGCTACAGTGTCTGTCACAGGTAACTCTGGTTTGCAAGTACAGTCCACGCCCGTAGAACGAGGTAGGATCCAGCCAGTGGGCTGCCAACAAGATGCGGCAGGTGCCGCCCAGAGTGTCCAACATGCTGTAGCCTCGGAAAATGAGCAGGAGTCCAAAGAGAGGTCAGGCAAACAGGTCAGGAACAGGAAGGCTCAGAGGTTGAGAGGCAAAACAGGATCAGGAAATCAGTACTAAGGTACGCTAAAAACAAAACTGGCTAGAGAGAACAAGGTAATCTGGCTCTGATGTCTGGATGCAAGCACCTTAAATAGAGGCAGGAGCAGATGGATCAGATGAGCAGTGATGAGAAACTAGGCAGAGTTAGACAGGTGAATGGAATGCGTAATTAAGCCAGTCATCAGTGCCAAGATCATGACAGTTTCCTGGTTAACGCATTCTGGTTAACAAGATTTTATACAGTCCTGCTTTTTTTCTTTCTTTGGAGATGAGGAATCTGTCTTTCATCCTGACCCCTTCAGCAACACACAGGGTTACTGCAAAGGATCAGTTTTAGAACACGATGAGTCTATTTTGGCTATCCAGAAAAAAAGTGGATCAATCTTTGTACTAGAATATTCTGTCATGTTTGTGGACATTAAGATCTAAAGAGAATCTTCATCTCCTGGAATTCAGTGAAAGGGGGGAGTCCGAGTAAAAAAAACATGAAAGAGGGGGTCACTCCAGTGGCTGGAAGTTGGAGGGGATTTGCTGGGAGTTGGAGGGAATTGGGCTGCTTGCTTTGAGCAGCTCTCGTGGGAGGGATTTGAACAGATAATAGAGCGAAATAATACAGCACACTGACTATGCCCTGGATTCTTTCCATGTTGCTCTCCATTGTTTACTTTCCTGATTTCTGTCACACTAGTGACATCATCAACGCAAACCCAGTGTGATGGTGTCACCAGACACGCAGCTGTGGGGGGACAGAGGCTATGCAGGTGCCAGCGAGGAGTTAGAACCAGGGAGCCAAATGCCGATTGTTCGGCCAAAATTTGAAAAACACGCTTTAACCCGGTATTTTCATTGGGAAAGAGACTTTGGTGACTAAAGTAGACATGAGGCATGGAAACAGAGCCACAGCCGGGTAGGAGAGAATCTATAGATGGACTAAAAGGGTAATCAAAGATGGATAACAAAAACAAAAAATCACAAAGGAGGATGGACTGCTTTGAAATATCAAGTCTGCATGCATAGAACCTTCCAAAATGTATTAAACTAAACTGTTTGTGTGAGTTTTTATATGCATTTTGACAGACTTCTAGCATCATCAATGGTACCTGTCACAGATATTGTCACGATTTGGCTATGGTTAGTTGACCCAAAAGCAGAGGCAGGGAGGCAGAGGTGAATCTCTTGTGGATTTAATAATGACTTAACAGAAAACAGAGGCAGGTTATCCAAAAATCCAAAAAGAAAACAAAGTCCAAACAAACATGAAACCAGGAGTCCAAAAATCCCAAACATGAAAACTAGTCTAAACGTACCAGAAACCATGGAGACATCAGGGGTCACAATCATAAGGAGGAAGGCTCAGAGAGACGGAGTTGGAGCATGTTTGACGGTGTTAGACGAGGACCCAGCAAAGGGGAACTGAAGAGAGAAGGCTTTTAAAGGAGACTGAGACAAAGAGGGCTAATGAGGAAACTGGGAGCAGGTGTGCACAGAACAAGAGAGGGAAAGAGCTAGGAAAGAAGGAGAACATAAGAGGGCAGCAGAGAGCAACAAATAGAAACCTGGAAGACTGGAAATAACAACAAAATGATAGTTAAATTACTAGGACTAAAAAACATGGGGAAAACAAGGAGTAAAGTAAGACTGAATACTCAAAAGAAAAACATAACAGAAACCTGAAAGATATTTTGTTCTTCCTCTAACTTATTGCCTATTCTTCTCTCCCACAGCCACCCAGAGGAGACAGAATGGAGTCAACGATCCGAGAAAAGGCTTCAGCTCTGAGAGAGATTTGCAGGTGGATGGGGGGTGGATTTGAGGATTTTTGGGACTGGGCGGATTGTCCTCCTGCACTCTGCACACCCACCTTGTGCTTCTCTCTCTGCAAACCATTGCAGACAGTTAGGGCAACACCTAACTCCCCCAACCTACAGCAGCAGTGCAATAGCAGCTGTGACCAGGAAGCTCTTTACGCCTGCGTCTCCTCTCCAGCTGGCCTGCATGCGGCCAAACACCCGGACTACTCCTTATCCTGTCCCCCCGACACGCGGCGCCCTCCTGTTGATGCTTTTCCTCCTATATTATAAAGTTATGGTTCTAGATGTTATTATGGCTGCAGTCTCTTGTTGTGCTCTTTCTACTGTACAGTATATTTATTACCTGTTTTAATCCCTCTCTTTCTTCTTTTTTATGAAAAGCATGACTCCTACCTGTACTCTTACTATTATGGCGGTTGGTTTTTTTCTCTGCACGACAAAAGCTGCCTGTGTGAAGCGAACAAACAGAACCACATCTCTTACATAGAGAGAAACGTGGGTGTATTTAACTATGTGTTTTGTTACTTCTTTGTTGTTTTTATCCTCTCTTTTATTCTCTCTGGAGTGTTGTTGACCCCTGAACCGACGCCTCCGTGTATTATCTGAACCCAACCTAGCTGCTCTGTGAGACAGTGAAAAAAACCATGCAGCATGCTACGATATTCCTGTTGTTCTTAGCAGTTGGCGTTTACACCCTCCTGCTGTATATGTATATTTCCAGTTTCATTGTGGCAGTATTTACTTGCATGAGTTAATGCATCAATTAATTCAATGTTGCTGTGCATTTTACTGAACTCCTCCTCTATCGGACTGAACTGCTGGTGAGCTTCAATCTGTTTCCTGGGTTGAGTTGATGCAGATTATGTTATAAATTCAGTATGAAATATGGATGTAAGCTTTTATGACTATTTCCTTGTCTCATGAACAGAGTAAGAATGGCTCTTTACTGTTTATCAAGCAAAAATAAAAATAAAAAATTTCCTCTCCCAGTTGTTTATTTTTGCTGTTTACATACTGAAAAACTATGTACACGTTTTTTTGTCACATTTTGTGATAATGCACCACATTTCAATCTATTTAGATGGGATTTAACACGACAGATCAACACTAAGTTGTGTAATATCCCTTAGCAATAGCCCTTAGTATTACTAAAGTAATACTTCTTCGAACTAAATTGGAACATTTTTAAGTTTACTAAAGTATACTTTAGTAAACAATAAAGTAAACAATAGTATAGTCAAGTACAGTTGACTATACTATTGTTAAGTATATGAAATATAGTTTAGTAAACTCTAAGTGCAGTGCCTGATTTTAAAGGAATAGTACACCCAAAACATGATTAGCCTTCATTTTCTACTCACCCTCATGCTGAACAACACTCTGGAGTACTTTTTTGATATCTCAAATGCATCTGGAGATCTGGGAGGCTTCTTGTTGTCTGCTGACATTCAAATAATGGAGGTCTATGGCAAGGGCGTAGGTTTGATTTGAACTTTGGTAGGGACACTATTGGTTGGGTGTCATTGGTGCTATGAAATATGCATGCCCTTTTTTATGTTTGACATGAGCATCAGTACTGATGAGAGGAATTCATTGTTTAAAGAGAAAAGCATCATTTTGCTACATTAATAAAATTGTATAAGCACTTCACTCACTAGATGCTGTTTATCAATGTTTGAAGTATCAGCGGCTCTGAAGAATGTGGAATTAGGACTGTTTTCCACTTTGAAAATGGTTTCATTTGAACGACTAAGAGATAAGGTAAACACAGTATTTTCTTTTAAAGATATAGAATTGTGCAGAGTTAAACCCCACTCTTTTTACCTACTATGCTCTCTCTGTATTAAGCAAAATAATACATTCATTAAAATATTAACTTCACTATAAAAGTTGAACATCTGGGCTTTAGTTACTCTGTGTAGCCCATTTCATGTATTTTATCTGGGGCTCAACAAATGAATCATATTAATTGATTATTTCAATAATCGTCAACGAATTTAGTAAGTGATTCATCATTAACTGGAGAATAGAGACTCTAAAACATAATATAAATGTAAAATGTGCCTTTCTCCGACAGAGCAACCCACTTAGATCAGTAATTATACCAAAATTGTAAAAATACAATATATATATATATATATAAGATTAAAAAAAAAATTTTTGTCTGTCAGTATTCTCCATCCAGAACTCCTCATGAGGAAATATTTTAGTATCACCTGGTTTATTTAGACATCACCTGAAGCACTGAAGGGCAGCTGCTTCACCTACAAGCTGCCCTGGATCTTTATTACTGCATATCTGTGTTTCCTATAATCATATAATGTATAAGTGCGTTTTTAATAGTAAAGGATTAAATGTAACACAACCTTTTATCATCGTCCTATTCCTTACTGTCTGACTGTTTAAATAGCTCCTTATGTCTATTTTCTGTTTTAGTGGCATCATCTACAAACACAACACTGAGCGTGAGCCTAAGTGTATTAAAATATAAAATCACTATTAACAATTATAAAAGACAATGTAACACTATCTTATCTGTAATTTAATAATATCCAAAATAAACAGCCAGATTCAAGCATTTTTACCAGACATTAATTTTTATAGTAATTTACTTATAGACTGTGTGGAAATCTATTTAAGATAAAATCAATGTTAACATTCTGCCTCTGTTTGTTCTTGTCTTTATCCTATTTCTAGAAGTAGAAATAGTCAATAAAATAGAACTATTATTATGTAGAACCCTAATTATGCTTTTAAACGATAAACAGCAGATGTTTAGGCACCATTTCTTGTTGTTATCCTCTATAAGAGAAATAACACCCGCTAATAATTATAGCTGAACTTCCTCAAAGAGTCATCAAAAAATGAAAACAGTAATACTAAATATCGGTAAAAAGGAAACCCTCACATTTTCTTTTTCAGTCGGCTGTGGCTAAGAATCAGAAATGTTGATGGCTTACAGCCTTTATTTATCCATTTTTCCAGCAGTCTTCAGAACTCCTGGCTGACTCAGAATATTTCGTTTTATAAAAGAAAAAAAAGGTTTTTGTTTTTAGTGTACATGATATTAATTTTTTTTATTGGGACTAGTTTTGTAGCCTAATATTAATTGTAGTAACCGCGGCATTCTAGTGTGAATACATTTTCAATTTTGTGCTCCAAGCACACTCGGACTAGAAAACAGGCAATCAGAGAGAAAGAAGGCGGAACCTAAGGCAGAACAACCAATGAGAGTGGAGTTAAACAGCGCAGCACAGTTCCTTTCACGCTGCTGCGTGAAAGGGACAGGAGAGACCAGGCAGAGGAGCTGCGAGAGGAAAAGAAGCCACTGCTGCAACAACTACTGCTGTAAATTATAAACATGTTGCTCACATCCAATTATTGGTAGGGACAATTAGGTCGGTTCAAAATGTTGGTAGGGACATGTCCCTATGGTCCCTATGCAAACCTACGCCCATGGTCTATGGTGACCGAGACAGAAAGGTCCATAAAAGTCCACAAAAAACGTGTCAATATTCCTCCATACTGGTCGTCCAATGTATTCCAAGTGTCCTGAGTGGGTAGCATCCAGAATCTACTCGAAACGAAGTCATTTAGAATGTTTTTAGAGCATAAACAGTAGTGTATAGGATTTCCTGAAAGCGTGCACATGCGCGATCACGAGGCCACGGAAGCCGGCAGACCAAACCAGATGAAAGTGCGCATTCAGCGTCTGCTCTTCCAATAATGCAAGCGTAGAAGAAGAAATGTGCTGTTTACCTGTGCAAAGACAGAAACAACGAAAGAAAAATGTCTGAGGACTTCAGTGTTGAGGAAGAGCATAAGTTCTTTGCCGAGCTGAATGCGCTGGTTTGGTCTGCCGGCTTCCGTAGCGTCGTGAACGCGCATGTGCGCGCTTTCAGGAAATCCTATACACTACTGTTGATGCTCTAAAAACATTCTAAATGACTTCGTTTCGAGTAAATTCTGGATGCTACCCACTCAGGAAACTTGGAATACATTGGACGAGCAGCATGGAGGAATATTGAAACGTTTTTTGTGGACTTTTATGGACCTTTCTGCCTCGGTCACCATAGACCTCCATTATTTGAATGTCAGCAGACAGCAAGAAGCCTCCCAGATCTCCAGATGCATTTGAGATATCAAAAAAGTACTCCAGGGTGTTGTTCAGCATGGGGGTGAGTAGAAAATGAAGGCTAATCATGTTTTGGGTGTACTATTCCTTTAAGTATGAAATTAGTGCACTTTTAGTATACTTGAATAAACTATTTTTTGATAAGGGATATAGCGAAGCGCACGTAAAGACACAGTATTTACTGACTTGAAAATTTCTAAGAACATTTTTAGGGTCGGCCACTTGTTGCGTGGTTCTGCTGCAGAGTTTGGTTCACCTCATATCAGAAGGTAGGAGGGAAAAAAATCAAAAAGTTTAATGTATAATGCATGAGAATTGCAAAACAGGCTGCCAATCTGTTTTGCAGCCTGTTTTGTCTCGCTCGGCTTGCCACAGGTTTGCCTGCTGTGTCCAGCAGCAGCAACCCAGACTGACAGCAGCTCATTGGATCATTTGGATCACGTGTAGCCTGGTGCCGCAGGGCTTTACCGTATTAACAGGAGAAGCGGCACATGTGAAATTAGACCCTGTCGTTGGACAACATGCGGTGATTTATTAATGTATTAAATCAGGTTGGGTTATCAGGGAGAACATGCTAACTCCATGCAGGAATCAAACCTGTAACCTTCTTGCTGCAACACAGCAGTGCTACCCTCTGCGCCACTGAGCCCCATTACCAGTTCGTTTGAAGGATAATTTCATGTTTTCAACCTTTGAATAGAAACAAAACACTTGTATACAGAAGTAGGTATAAAAAGAACATAAATTCACAAGCAGATGGGTAATAATTCAGACGTTTCCATGAACAAAAGATGTGATCAAATGCGAATGCAATGAACATTTCAGTTCAATTCATTCTATTTGCATAGAGGCAATTAATAACATGTAATCCTACAGGCCAATTTATGCTTCTGATGCATAGCCCCTTTAACAGTCAAATCTGTCTCTGTGCAACCATCGTCGCGCACCTCAAAAAAATCCTGACTACGAGTCGGACGGTTGCAAACCAGCGCAGACCTCAAGCAGAAGTGCGCAGACAAAAAGCAGCTGTGATTGGTCCTTATTATTAGCCTGACGTAGTCCTACTCAATTCTAGTCAGAATATGAGTCTGATACTGCTCCATAGAGCTGTGATTATGGGGCGTGTTTTGAACGAACCAGGAAAAAAAATGCCTCTGCACTCAATTGGATAGACCTACAACTAATAAGAGCAACGGAGTGCGTGACGTATGTTAAGCGACGCATAGTTGTTGTCAACAAAAATCAAAGCGTGCAGTTGCACGCCTAGAATAAGAAGATGAGCCTTGATCGCGTTTCTCTGTTCCTCTTTTAAAATTAAATTACTGTTGATATCTTCTAGAACAGACCTAATAGCAGAATCTACACACCTCAACTCTCCGGCGGCAGCCATTGTTGTTGTCACCCAAGCGTGCTTTGGTCACGTGGTTGATTACGTTACTGTTGATCATCTGTCCATAATCGTATAAAGCCCGCCCTGACAATTTGATTGGCCCGCCAGATATTGTGCGATCATACTCACGCTACTGTTGAGCAATGCCAGACCGAACTTCCCGACCTCAAACCTTGTGGGCGGGACTAAGTTCGGAATGGCACCCAGGCTAACTTATTATGCCTTTCCGGCTGTCTGTGGGGTCGTCCTTCTCGATTCGGTGCCGGGGTGCGCCATTTTTAAAAACAGAGTAACAACTTACTATGGACAACTACGACAAAAGGTTAATCGAGGAGGTTTGCTCCATTAACAGAACCTGTTCCTCTTCGATATCTAGTGACTCTAGATCCATCTCTGTGACTGTGATTTCTTGCAGGCGCGTCAGATTTCTCGAATAGGCTCCCCCTTGCGCATTGGCGGGAAACTGC